GCCTCCAGCAAAGTGTCTGCAGTGCACGCTGCTCAGAGGCAGCCTTCTCTGGGACCCTGAGTCAGCCAGTGCTCTGCTTACCTCTGGAATTCTTTCCTGCGAGCTCCCATCAGCACGTGACTAGGTCCTCATCTTAACTCATACACATTCCTGAAGCTCTATAAATGTTAGCTTGATGCATTAGAGAGCACAATATGGAAGCCCAAAATTGTTTGGTGCCTGAGTAAATCCAGATTTCCTCTCTCCAGCCAGTAAAACACCGTGCTGGCTTTGTTGCCCCATTTGTAAAAGTTTAGAAAAAGCTTTCCAACAAGCTAAGCAAAGGAAGGCAGGAGGTGAGCTTCATAAACAGGACCCAAGAAAGCAGAAATGGAAACAAAGGATTTGATAGTTTCCGAGTTATTCTCCTGATACAGTAAAACAGGCTCTTGTAACCGGGGCCCCTGTTAATTTATTTCCATGAGTCTCTCAGCCCATTTCAAAGCTCAGCTGAAAGATGGCACCTAGCACAGGTGACTTCATTCTGTGTTGCTCTGTTCTGCTGTATCTCGTACAGAAATGGTTGTTAAGAAGTGGCCTTCTTCCCTGGCGCAATGGCTCAATGGCTAAATCCTCACCTTACAAACACTAGTATCGCATGTGAGCCCCAGTTTTGTGTCCTGGCTGCTCCACTTCCCATCCAGCTCCGTGCTTATGGCCTGGAAAAGCAGCAGAGGATGGCCCTAAGCCTTAGGACCCTGTACCCATGTGGGAACCCCAGAAGTTCCTGGCTCCTGGCTTTGGATGGGCTCAGCTCTGGCTGTTGTGGTCATCTGGGGAATGAACTAGCAGATGAAGGATCTCTTTCTCTGTCTCTCCTTCTTTCCATAAATTTGATTTTGCCCTTCCAATAAAAATCAATAAATCTGAAAAAAAAAAAAAAGTGGCCTTCTACAAATGTTTGGGTCTGCTATGCCTCTGTCCTTTTCCTACTGCTCTCCCAACTCCTCAAGCACCCCACCTTTCCCTCCTTTTCCATCTCTGCCCCCCCCAAGAAGACTGGCCCTTTCTGCCTCCAGGGGCAGAGTATCATGCCAGAGCACCCAGATGCCACCAGGCTGCGACGTTCTGCAGCAAGCACTCAGAGTTAAATGGTCAAATGCAGCCAGCTCATTTGGCTGTGGCTAACATCTGCCCCCCTTGACAGCACCCCAAAGCAGAGGGGCAATGGTGAAGATCAGGCTGTTCCACAGGCAGATGGAGCTGCTCTGTCAGCCTCGCACAGACACAGACACACACGCACGCAGGCACAGACATGACTCCAGGCTTCCCAGAAATGCCCCAGGGAGGCAGAGCAGCAGCCCTGGCTGCCAGCTGCTCTCTTAATTAAGGAATGCGGGGAGTGGCCCCTTTGAACTCAGCAGCTAATTTACTCCAATGCACCCCCCCTGTGGCTGGGTAATTAATGTGGTGTGAACCAGTGATTAGCAGTGGTGGGGGAGAACCTGCCTGCCTGCCAGCCGCAGACTTAACTCTTCCCTGCACCTGAAAGGATGTACCTTCATTCCCTTATTCTGCAGTTGTCACAAGCCCAGCATTGCCCAGTCCTCACCCAAGCTCTTCCTTCCGCTTTATTCAGCTTTCCCAAATTCCCCTAAAGAAAAGAGGTTTGGGGAGGCAATGGGAAGTAGAGGGGGTAAACTGCAATTTATTTCCGGCCAAATAAACCATCATGTGTAACCCATGATTCTAAGATCCATGGATCTGCCCTGATGCTGGTACCCACATCCTCTGCATCCACCCATCCTCTGCACCCAGAGCCCTCCAGTCCCAGACTTTGACACTGCACGCTCATTCAACCCCATCCAACAGGTGCAAATGCAGCATCCTTGCCTAGGAATTTTGACCTCAGCAAAAATTCAGGGTGCAGACATCAGTGTGGGCTAGATAAGGAGTCACTGAGGGACAAGTTGCTGAGGACTTCCAATACCCAAGCTGTGTGCACGGCCCAGATCATCTTCTGTACCAAGTCAACGCTACAGGCTCAGCACACAGGCTCTTCATCATGCAGCTAGGCTCACTTTCCTTCAGGCCCCAGATGATCAGCAGATGCGCTGCAGCCCCAGCCTAAGCCCTGCCCCATTGGCTCTTCAATCAGGCCCAGTGCAGAGCCCCACCCCTGAGCCTATAAAAAGGACAACCCCAGACTGGATGGGGGTAATTCTCTTCTGAGGCTGCCCACGCTCACAGTTAAGCCTTTCAACAAATGCTACCTTCCATTCATCCTGTGATACTCTTATAAGCAGGAAGACAAGAAGCTGGACTAGAGCTAGCTGGGGGCTTCTCATCCCCCACAGCATGATAGGAGGGCTCCCACTTCCCCACAACAGCACCCTGTTGTCACTCCAATTGTCATCGTTGGGTTATATCTCTCCTCCCCCGTCTCCACAGTTCATTCCTGGAGGACAGGAGCTGACCCTTTCATCTCCATGTCCCCAGGATCTGACACCTAACTGGATGTAGAATAAATGGCTAACAAACGATGGTGGGATTGACGAGGGCTCCTCTTGGCTGCTTCCAGATTCTGTCCCTTCCTGCCTACTCCCGAGTTCTCCCTCCCAGTTCAGGCCCCTGTCCTATTTTCTGGGACCATTACAACAGCTGTTCCCCAGTCTTTTTTTCTCTCCCAGCCTGCCATGCTGGCAAATCGCCCCAACACAAGGCAAGGAGCAACACCCTATGTGCAAGCAGTACTCCTCAGCCCATAACTCATAGACTATTGCCTGGAATAGATAGAATGCTTGTAAAAACTGCAGGTGTCCAAGCCCATGTACGGCTGAATTTGCTAATCCTCTACCTATAAGCACCAGCATCTCATGCAGACACCAGTTCTAGTCCTGACTGCTCTACAAGCTCCCTGCTTGTGGCCTGGGAAAGCAGTGGAGGATGGTCCAAAGCCTTGAGACCCTGCACCCACTTGGGAGGCCTGGAGGGGACTTCTGGCTCCTGGCTTTGGATTGGCTTAGCTCCAGCTGTTATGGCCATTTAGGGAGTGAACAAGTGAATGAAAACTCTTTCTCTCTGTCTTTCCTTTTCTCTGTAAATCTGTATTTACAATAAAAAATACCTAAATATTAAAAAAAAAAAAACCTGCAGGTATCTTCAGGGGCCAGCATTGTGGTATAGCAGATAAGCCACCACTTGCAATGCCACTTCCAGCTCCTCTTTCTGAGCCTGCTCCCTGGTAATGAACCTAAGAAAGCAACAGAAAATGGCCCAGATGCTTTAGTCCCTACCACTCACAGGCTCCTGGCTTCAGCCTGGACCAGCCCCAGCCACTGTGACCATCTGGGGAGTGAACCAGCAGAAGGAACCAACATTCTTTTTTCTGCTTCTCTTTCTCCCTCTATAACTCTGCCTTTTAAATAAATAAATAGATCTAAAACAAACAAGCCCACAGATTCCTAGAGCAAATGTTGGAGTGTTGGGCTCACATTGCAAACCAGAGTGCTGGGACTGAGTCCCCCTCTGCTTCTGTTCCAGCTTCCTGCTAATGTGCACCCTGGGAGGTAGCAGATATTAGCTCCAGTGCTTGGGTCCCTTCCACCCATATGGGAGACGCAGTTAGAATTCTGGGCGCCTAGCTTTGGCCTGGCTCAGTAAACCAGCAGGTAGCCAATCTCACACTTTCTTACCTGCTCTCATTCTCTCTCTCTCTCCCTCCTTCAAGTAAGTATAAAAATTCTTTTAATGAAACTACGTATGTATAGATATGTGGACCCAATTTCCACACCCTCCCCAGAGACAGTAACCCTAGGAACCCAGTATTTATGAAGGTTGAGAGCCACTGGTCTTTAGAATACCTTAATCCAAGGTTCCAGCACTGCAGGTGTAGATTAGCCTGTAGAGCCACCATGCTGGCCCCACCATGGTTTTAACTAACCTCGTTTCAGTTTTTCAACTTCCTCATCCCTAATAAAGAAATTTACATAAAGCAAAATGTATGAACATGTCTAGAATTATTTGAAAAACAGAAAAAGAAAAGAAAAGAAAAAAAAAAAGAGCTCACACCTGCTAACTCAGTCCCCAAATGCTGCAATGGCCAGGACCGGGCCAGCCAAATCCTGGAGGTAGAAACACAATGCAGGCCTCCCATTTGGGCAACAGGCATCCAATTACGTGAGGCATCACTATGTTTCCCATGGTCTGCATTGGCAGGAAACTGGAGCCAAAGTCAGATATCAAACCGAGGCACTTGACATGGGACACCAGTGTTATAACTGATGGTTTAAACAGCAGACCACGGGCTCATCCATTCACTCCTACTTGTTAAAGATATCCAGTCAACATTTATAACATGCCAAGCACCGAGGCAAACATGGAAATGAATACAAGGTCCTTCTTGCTGAGCAGACTATGAAGATTAAAAAAATTGCTACGGAAAACCTACTGAAGATAATGAGAAAAGCATAGACTGCACAGAGACACACATGCACCCTGCCTGAGGCAGACAGCTTGACAGACCAATGAAACAGCATTCCCTCCCTGCTGGAGGAACACATAGAATTCATGGAAGTGTGAAAGACCAGTTCTGAAAGAGGTAGTTCTGGCTTTGAGTCGGCTACAAAACAGGATGGAAGTGGGTAGCCAAAGTGAAGAAGCAAAAGTGTTCACCTGCTGAGCCAAGAGTCTGCATCCCCGGGGCTGCAGGAGGTCACACAAGAACTGAAAGCAGAGAAGCAGCTGGAGTGGAACTGCAGCTTCGAGGTCCCTCTGTGGCTGTGATGGTAAAGACAGACAGCAGTAGGTGGGACTGATGCCAGCAGGCCTGGCAAGACTCAGCAAGGAGAATGTGGGTGGCTGTGGGGTGCTTGTCACCATGCATTGGCCAACCATGTGCATGTGAAAGAGGCTGACTTATAAGAATCTGCTCTTGAAAGTCCAGCTCAGCCCACGGCCAACTTCCACTTTCCTCTGGATGTTTTCACTTTTGAGGCATCCTGTTCTGAGTCAAGATTCCTTCTTCTGAACATGGGACTTTCCAGAAGGAACACAGCTCCTTCAGCACATCCACTTGGCCTGGGATGTTCTGGATTGGAGTGTGCCCGCTCTTCTGGAGGATAACGGCCATGTGGTGCCTGTGGAGTCTTCTCTGGGCAGGTAAGTGGGGCAGGTGGGTGGCATGGCTTTCAAGAGCTGAAGATCTCTCCCCAGCTGCCCTTGAGAGCCTTGTGTCCCAGTGAGAACCTAGGAACTAGAGGTGAGGAGATAGGAAAGAATGAAGCAAGTCTTTGGGCAACAGTGAACGTTAGGCAGATATAAAGAGATGCAGGGCCGGTGAGAGGAGATGGCAACATTAGGCATGTCCCAGTCTAGCAGAGATAAGCTGATTTATACCCTCCAAGGAAGTTAAAACTGAGCTTGTTTGGCAAGAAAGTTAGGTAGGAGAATGGTGAGGATCTGGCAGTGTCAACACAGAAATGTTATGCTTAGTTCAGAGCAAGAGCAGAATGAAAAGGCAGAGCAGAGTTTCCCAAAATCTGAGAAAAGTGTACTTTCAGTAGGCTGTGGGGAAACTGAGGCTCACCCTCCATGACTCAACACCCCTGGCAGGCCTGTGCAAGGGGAGGACAGTTAATATGGATGAGAGAGGGGAGCAAGTTAAACAGAATTCCTGTGGACTTGGGAGTGGTTGCCAAGGCTGCAATGTTGGAATGGAGACACGTGGCCTCTCTCTTCAACACAGGATGATCCCTCCACTAGTCTGATGCCCCAGTTCCCCAGGATAGTCACTACGTGGCCACGGGTCAGCACCAAAGGGCCAGAGGTGGGAGCTATGGGGGTTGGCAAAGGCCAAGACATCAATGTTTACATCAGAGAAGCCAAGTTGGAGGCTGCCGTGTCCAGTATGCTTGCCAAGGTTCCTGACCCTGATTGCTCCAAAGGCCTTCCAGATTTCTTCAACATTTATAAATATTTAGAGGAAATCACATGTCAGCCCTCAAAAAGGTCTCAGTCTGATTCATAAAATCTTTCAATTCATACGACATTGTCTTGGCCATTAGCCAAGTGCTTTTTAGTTGGTTTTCAATGAAGCCTTTTACAATAAAAGGAGATAATACAAGGGGTCTGGCATAGATGCCTTATTTTACAGGCAAGCCCATAGAAGAGTAAAGAGGGAGGCTGATACGCTGACAGTCACCTGACCGCCTCATGCCAGAGCCCAGAGAGAACGAAAACAAGATCTCAAGCAACATCTTGTGTAATTCTCTCTGTATGTGACATCTCTGCTCTGTGTGCCCACTGAAGCCACCTCCAGTCGGGACAAATGATGGCAGGGTTGGGAGGTCAGTGAGAGGAATGAGACAGTGAGAGGAATGAGAGGAATGAGTGGCTGGCCAGGTGATCACACAGAACCTGCCTCCTTCACCAACCTGCCAGCACTTGGGTGTGTTACAGTTGGCTCTTAGGCTGCTCTGCCTCGCAGATCATCCTGCTGTGCCTGGTGCCAGGTCAGTCTCAGGAAAGCTAGTCACTCATTCGGTTCAATTGATTAAGCATCCACAGTGTGACCCCAAACAGATGTGGGCACTGGGAGTACATTGAGAAAATGACCCTTGAGCTCTCAGTCTATAGGAGATGCTGACTCACAAACTGGCAATGATCATTGCAGGCTATGGTCAGCCATGGTGGTGATCCCAGGCCACAGTGAGAACAGAGTGTGCACCCTGCAGCAAGGGGTAGGGAAGGTCAGTGGAGGCAGTGATGCTTCAAAAATGAGCGGATTAGCCAGCAAAGACATCAACAAAGCACTCCAAGCAGAGGGGCCTCCCATTCACCTTGAGAGCGAGTATAATTCCCCACTTAGTATTCAGCCATCTCACCGCTGCCCCCCACCTGCCTGCTTCTGCTCCTGTTTCAGATGACACAGAATAGCACCCAGTGGACCCCTCCAACCTTGCAGCCATCCACAACTCCTTTCTCACCTGCCCTCTTTAGATCTAATCTGTTGTCAAACCCTTACTGACCTCACGCCCTTGGTGTTTCTCCCACTCCGACCCATCCTGGGGGCTCCCTTCCTCAGTTCAAGTTCCCATCACTTGTCCCTCGGACCTGCATCTTGCCCCACCTCCAGGGCATTCTTTGCACCTCTGCTGGAGTGATCTTTCTAACCATGCATCTTATCATGTTCCTCTCCTGCTTAAAACCTCCCCATGACTTCCCATGGCTCTTGGGATAAAGCCCAAGGCTTGCTTGCAGATTTCAGGGCCCTGCATGCTCCAGCTCCTGCCAGTTCTGCAGTGCACAGGCCTCCATACATGCTATTCCCTCTGTCTATCGCACTTGCCCATCTCCACCCCTGCTTCAGACAGCCCTTCACTTGGCCTGGCTGATACCCCTTCCTTCTTCAGATCTCAGCTTAGCCAGTTCTGTGAGCCTCTCGAGGCTGGGGAAGGTCCTTCTCCCAGCCTACCTGTGTTCTCCCAAGACATCCCATTTCCTTTTTCCCTCATGCTATTTAAACACAATTTATTTTAATAGCTTGTCTGAGTGTCTGGATTCCTCTGTGAGTTATGGATGCACGTGTAAAATTCTCTTCTTGTTTCACCCCTGCAGCATGGCATAGTGCCTGCTCCACTTGAGTGGAGGGAGGGTAGAGTGGGGCTCTAATCACCTCATAGCAGCTCAGCTGTATGTAGAGGAGGGATGAGGAGCGGCCTGGGGCCAGCAGGGTGACCGGGGGCTCTGTTCTTGCAGCACTCCTTCCCATCGCAGCTCCTGGCGCCCAGGTGTTGAGCAAGGTCGGGGGCTTGGCACTGCTGGTTGCCCAGCACCCCTCCAGCTTCCAAGTCCGAGAAGCCATCTGGAGATCTCTCTGGCCTTCAGAAGAGCTCCTGGCCACATTTTTCCGAGGTTCCCTGGAGACTCTGTACCATTCCCGCTTCCTGGGCCGAGCCCAGCTGCACAGCAACCTTAGCCTGGAACTCGGGCCACTAGAATCTGGAGACAGCGGCAACTTTTCCGTGCTGATGGTGGACGTGGGAGGCCGGACCTTAACCCAGACCTTACAGCTCAAGGTATATGGTGAGTGCACCTAACCATACTCCCTGACCCCCTTCTCCTCCCACAGAGCACCAGGCATCCCTGGTCAAGGGAAGTGGGGAGAACCACGTTCCCAAAACCTCTGTTGCCCACCAAAGGAACAGCTGCTCCCCAGCCATCACAGCTAAGAAAACTCCCCAGATACTCCCAGGGGCACGCCTGTCTGCAGCAGTCAGGCTTTGCCATCCCAAAGCCCCAGCTGGACTTGAGCTTGATCTTCTCACTGTCCAGGGGCCTTGGACACAGCCCTTCGCCTTCCTCATTTGTACCAGGGCATTGCTGTATTACCTAACATATGGTGCCTTTGAGGGTGCCAGGTCCAGGCCTTTTCAAAAGTATCAAGAACAGAGTCGCTATCCTAGGGTATCAACCTAGATCAGAAAATGCATCATTATTTTATGGACCACTAAAAAAATAGAAGAAAACTGTTGCCAAAGTATGGCACAATGAGTTTTGAATTTAAAAATTAATTTAAACTGACAAAATTTTTATATGCCTTCAAAGAGATCTTTTAGAGAGAGTTGGATTGTCTATCATTCTCTGCTTCCCTCCGTCATTCATCTACGAAAAGCAAGCCATCTCAAAACTTATTAAGAAGGACTCTTCTGATTTCTCCTGATGCTGCGCGTTGACAGGGCCCAGCTGGGTGGACCTTGTTCTCTGCAAGGGAAGGGATATTCACACAGCTGCAGCCATCACCCCAGTGGGAGTGGCTGAATGGCCAGGGGGCTGGACGGGATTTCTTTTCCAGCAGTTCCACCTCCACCACAATCATTCCTACCACCTCCGCCATGTTCCTGCTCATCTGAGGGCTTAGGGAAAAGATGCAAGTGACCCCAACCATTACTTCAGTAAAACCTCAGAAATGTGGATAGTATGTGTGTGTGTGCATGGGAAGGAAGGATAGCAGCTGGAAAAGGGGACAAAGATTGTACACAAACTGGGGCGTTATTGCAAGCCCCCAGAGAATGCCGACCAGCTGTTCTTGGGGACAGATGTACAATGACAGGCTGCCTTTCTGGAGGCATGCAGCCCCCAAACCAGGTGGAAGACCTCAGCAAGCAGAGGGCCAGCTGTGTTTGAGCACCCACCCCGACTCACTCCTCCCGGAGTCCCATTCACTGGTGCCCCTGCACAGGGGATAACCTGTTCCACCATACAAGCAGCCCTGGCGCCTCTCCCCTCCTGAGGCTCAGCTGCTGCATGTGTGAAATGAGGACATTGAATGTGATAATACATGCAGCACCCACACCACTAAGCTCTAAAATGCCTTGTTCCCAGCATCTGAATTACAGATTTTAAGGAAATTGCTGTTTTATTGCTTCCAAATACATAGCGTGATTAGAACTAATTGCACGAAGCTGCCAAGCAGCCGTCCTTAGGAGCTCTGCTTTGACAATAGATAAGAATGATTTGAATTAGCAGATCCGTTACTAGAAATGTCAATGGGTGTTTCTACTGTGCCTGATCATGTTTGGAAGCAACTTGTCCTACTTAAGTGGTGTAAATATCCCCCCCTGTAATCTTTGTTTATACTACCAGTGTGCCCAGCAAATCATCTCTTTTTTCATATCACAAATCCCACCAGATTGAGCTGGCATTAATGGGGTTTTACTCTGCTTGACTTTGGAATGTTGTCACAGCCTGAGCCCTCCTGTTGTCACCAGAATGCTCTCCCGCGGGGCCCCCGTGATTTACTCATCAACCTGTTCAGGAAAGGGGAGCCACCCGCTCAGAACAACAGGACACTGAATTGTGCCATAGCCCAGGCATCGAATACCTACAGTTTTCCAGCCTGGAAAGCAAAATTTGTCAAGCTAACAAGATTGAGGCCTTCACTTCTGAAACTCTCCCTTATTGCATTATGCATTCTTATTATTTTCCTAATTATTCAGAATCATGTGTAAGTATCTCTCTTCCTCACCCAACTGTAAGCCCCAAAAAGTCCAAGAAAGTGCTTATTTTCTAGATTGAAAGCAAATGCTCGTGACTGACACAACATGAGAAAAATTCTATCAAAAGGGCTGGACAGAGTGTTTGGAGAGCTTGAAGCCGTATCTGGGGGCTCAAGGAAAGCATCACAGAAAGGTGTTACCCAATGAGTCCAAGCCGGACCTCAAGATGCAGGAGAGTTTCCTAGGAGGACAAGAAGAAAAAGACATGTGTGCACAGAGGAGCCACATAAAAGCATGACAGATGTGAAACTGCATGACGTGTCTGAGTAAACTGCAAACTAATTAGGACAGGCGAGGAGGACCCACTGGCGAAGGTATAAAGCATCTTGTGATGGGTTTTAAATTCCAACCTAGGAAATTCAACTTCTGCCCTGTGGGCAATGGAAGCCAAGGAAGTATTAGCAACAAGACAGCCATAGACAGAGGTAGCCTCTAACCCTGCCGGAAGCCCAGAGCTACAGCACCTCTGTAACCCACACCTGCTCTACTCTTCTTGCCTAGATGTAGTACCCAGGCCCGTGGTACAAGTGTTCATCGGTGTAGCGGAGGATGCTCAGTTCCCCAGGACCTGCCAGGTCTTCTTGTCCTGCTGGGCCTCCAATGCCAGCGACATAACCTATAGCTGGCGACGGGATGGCTTGGCAGACTTCGGCATTGAACCACCCAGCCTGTTCACAGATGGACAAGTGCTGAGCCTTTCCCTGGGACCAGGAGATAAGGATGTGGCCTACTCCTGCATTGTCTCCAACCCTGTCAGCTGGAACTTGTCCACAGTCACCCCTTGGGAGAGCTGTCACCATTATGAGGCAGGTATGCCAAGGAAGGGTTAAGGCTCAATAGTTGGGGATTACAAGACACCAAACCCACCTCTGACTCTATCCCTCTATGTCCAGCACCAGGGAATACCGCCTACAAAGATGTGCTACTGGTGGTAGTACCCATCTCACTGCTCCTGATCCTTGTTGGTCTTGTCTTGGCCTGGCAGTGTGGCCCCTGCTCAGGTAGGAGTCCTGCTCAGGCAGGAAGTGGGGAAGGAGATGGATTTACTGGGGAGCGGAGTGAGGTGTGATTTCCTCTTATTATTCTCTCCTTCACATGACAAGTTCATCTCAGATCCACCTCATCTCAGACCTCTTTATCTCATACTTTGGTCTCCAATCAGAAGTTAGTCCTCACACTTAAAGCTTCACTTGCTTTTCCTCCAAGATTCTATAGACATCATCGGGCCTTTACACATTCTATTCCTTCTGCCTGGAACCTACTTTCTATTATTTTTCCAATCAACTTCATTTCTTCATCTAGCTATCTTCTGTTCAATCATACATATTTGAAACACAGAGAGAGGAAATCAGGGATGGGGAGAGATCTTCCATTCACTGGCTCATTCCCCCCAAACACCTGCACTAGCCAGCACTGGAGCAAGCTAACGCCAGGAGCCTGGAATTCAATCCAGGTCTTCTACATTGGTGGTGGGAACCACCCATGGACTTGAACCATCACCTGCTCCCTCCCAGGGTGAGCATTACCAAGAAGTCAGAGGAGCCAGGACTCAAACTCAGGCACTGTGATGTGGGCATTTTAACCTCTGTGCCAAATACACACTCAGCCCCCACCTACTTATACACCATGTGTGCTCTGAGGATTTTCCCCGACCTCTCTCTATCACCTTCAGGCCAGCTAATGTCCTCCCTTTTATCTCTGTTGCACACTTTGGTCATGGAACCAAATATACTCATCCACTCGCTACATTCTCAGCCCTCTAAAGGCAGAGATTGTATCATCACAGGGCATTGCCAGTGACGCCAGGAATAACGGCTCCTGGGACAGAACTTGTGTCAGAATACACTTTTTAAGTGAGAATATGAATGACTCCTGGCTCCTTCCTGCCCACCATCCCCAGTATTGTCTCCCTCAGAAAACCACCCGTGGACCAGTGGCCATCAGGGGCATCTTCTTGCCAAGAGTGAGCAAGGGAAAACTCAGACCAGATTCTGAGCTCCACAGCTAGCTCAGCCTCTATCTCTGCCCCAGGATACCCTGCCCCTGAATGAATCAGCTGACTGATTGGCCCTTATGGCCACTTCTACTTACACTGTCTAAACTTGCTGGCCACCAGATAAGCTAATAAAAGGCACCAGTCCTGAGGGACCAGCACAATAGCTCAATTGATTATTTCTCCACCTGTAAGTGCCAGCATCCCATATGGGTTCTGGCTCATGTCTTGGCTATTCCACTTCCCATCTAGTTCCTTACTTATGGCCTGGAAAAACAGCCAAGGATAGTCAAACCCTGGGGACTCTGCAGGAGTCAGTGTAAGAACTCAGTGTAAGCTCCTGGCTTTGAAACAGCTCAGTTCTGGCTGTTGCATCCATTTAGGGGGTGAACCAGCAGATGGAAGATCTTTCTCTGTATCCCCTTTCTCTCTCTCTGCAAATCTGTCTTTCCAATAAAAAATAAGTAATTCTTAAAAAAAAAAAAAAAAAGGAACTCATCTTTGTTACAATGGGTGTGCCATAGAAGGTCAGTATCTTGGCCTAGTTACTGAAACCTGGGATGGGCAGGAGGTGGATCCCTGCTTATTCTTTCCAGGAAGAGTAAATGGAAAGAGAGAAGCTGAGGTTGTGGTCCACCTGAGGCCCTGACTGCTAAGATGAGAGTTTGGCTCTAGCTTTTGACCCAGAGTTCCCAGGATTTGGGATCAGTAAACATAACCCAGAAAAGGAAATTTTGTTAACAACTTTCCAATGTGATGGTGCAGTTAGCTAATCCTCTCCTCACAACTGCCAGGATCACATGCAGGAGCTCTGTCACAGCTGCTTTGCTGCTCATCCAGCTCCCTGGTTGAGGCTTGGGAAAGCGGGCGAGGGTGGCCCAAGGCCTAGGAATCCTACATCTGAGTGGGAGACCTGGAGGAGGTTCCTGGCTCCTAGCTTCAGATTGGCACAGCTCTGGCTGCTATAGCCATTTGAAGAGTGAACTAGCAGAAGGAAGATCTTTGACTCTCCTTCTCTCTAAATTTACCTTTCAAATAAAAATTTTTTAAAAAACATCTTTTTAGGGCCCGGCGTGGTGGCGCAGTGGTTAAGGTCCTCGCCTTGCACGCCCGGGATCCCATATGGGCGCCGGTTCTATCCCGAAAGCCCCGCTTCCCTTCCAGCTCCCTGCCTGTGGCCCGGGAAAGCAGCCGAGGACGACCCAAAGCTTTGGGACCCTGCACCCACGTGGGAGACCCGGAGGAGTCTCCTGGCTTCGGATTGGCATAGCATTGGCCGTTGTGCTCACTTAGGGAGTGAATCATTGGAGGGAAGATCTTCCTCTCTGTCTCTCCTCTGTATATCCACCTTTCCAATAAAAAAATAATAAAAATAAATCTTTTAAAAAAATCATTTTAAAAAAGACACAACTGCATACCATGTATTTCATCTATCTAAAGTACACAGTTCTGTGGCTTTAGTATGCTCATAGAGTTGTGCACCCATCACTACGACCAATTTAGGACATTTATTACCCCAATTCTCTCGATCTCCCTACAGCCCTAGACACTTACTAATCTACTTGCAGCCTCTGTGCATCTATCCTCTCTGGACATTTCATATCACTGCACTCATACTTCATGTGGCCCTTTGGAACTGGATCCTTTCACCCAGCCCATTGTCTTCAAGGTTCAGAAAAGAGTAGCTACGGCCTTTGACAAGGGACATAGAGGGCCCAACCAACAAAGGGAAGTGAAAAGGCCCCACACAGAGGGTCAAGAGCTGGGATCCAGCTCTGCTTTGTGGCTTCTGGTCATATATCCAGATCCTCCACAGTCCTGACTTTGCAAACTTCCCATTATTAAAGGTATAGTACAGGTGCAGCTCAAGGTTACACGTTAAGAACACCTTCATGATCTTGAAAAGTCTCCCTTTGCAGGGGCTTGTAAGATGAGGAGATCTTGGGTCAGTGGGGCCAGGCCAAGTATGCTAAGATTCCAAGTACTAAAGCAGTAACTTTCTTCGTGATCTCCTCACCAGGGAAAAAAAAGAAGGATGCCTGTGCTGATGGAGCAGCACCTGAAGCAGAGAGCCCCCTTGTGTAGGATCTGCCGTGAGGAATGGTGTAAGCTGACGGCTGGATCACTAGCAAGCCCACTGGCCGTGCACACAATGCTCTAGGCGTAGCAGGGCCAGGAAGCCACCCTGGACCTCTTACCTCCCACAGAACTACACCATGCCTCCCAGGAGCAGCACTGGCAGCTGTCATGATGGGTGACAAAAAGTACCAGCAGGGGGCGGATATTGTGGCACAGTCCATATCCAAGGGCCACTCTGAATACCAGCTACTTTGCTCTTCTGACTCAGCACCCTGCTGGCGTCCCTGAGAAGCAGCAGCAGATGAGTTTCTGTCATCCGTGTACAAAACTTAAAAATGGAGTTCCAGGCCCAGCCCCAGCTGCTGTGGCATTTGGGAAAATAAACCTACAAAAGGAAGATCTCTCCTAATGAGTGTGTGTGTGTGTGTGTATGTGTGTGTGTGTAACTTTTGCTCTGTTATTTTGCCTTTCACATAATTATATAAGTGTTTAAAGGTAAAAATAAAAAGCATTGGTCAACCTGCCACTTCTCCCTAACTTCTCTCTCCTAACTTCGTACATCCTGGCTCTTCTCTGGACAAAATAGGATTAATGAGATTATTTCCCCCAAAGATCACTGGGAGCTCTCCAGGATCCCCAGGGACAATGATTATCTAAAGCACTCACTCCCCACCACTGTTTGTAAAATTAACCATGGGGCCAGTGTTGTAGCATATCAGGTAAACCTGCTACCTGCAGCACCGGCACCCCATACGGGAACCAGTTCTTGTCCCTCCTGCTCTGACCCAGCTCCCACCAAATGTCCCTGGGAAAAGCAACAGAAGATGGTCCAAATATTTGATTGCTGTGCACATGGAAGCCCTAGATGAAGCTCCTGGCTTCTGACTTCTGCCCAGCTTAGCCCTATCTGCTGTGGCCATCTGAAGCAGCAAATGAGGGATTCTCTCTCTCTCTCTCTCTCTCTCTCTCTCTCTCTTTGTCTTTCTCCAATAAATAAATCTTTAAAAAAACTGTTAACCAACTACATTAAAGGTTTACCTCTAGCCTGATTCCGGGGTCTCAAAGATATTAAATGTTTGCGCTAACAAAGAGGTACTGCATATGCTGGATCACCCACTACTGGCTCCTGACCCAGACCCACACCCAGACCCAACCCCTGTAGTTTGAAATCCTGATGCCTCCTGACAATTGTAAGAAAAGGTCTAGAAGAGGTGGAGGGCAGTAATTTCCCTTTCTGGCATGAAAGACTTTCAGGTCATCTGAATTCACAGCTTCTCAAAGACAAAATGAGGTTATCACTGACCAAGATTAGTTGAAACTCTGTGGTTGAGATGGATGCTATTTTGCATGTAATGCCTCATTAATAGACAGTCTTACCATTACCATTGACCATTGTACCTCCTTCTAGGTCAGGGAGTGGTGTGTTTAAATTTTTCTCCCTATTCTCTAGCACAAAGACAAGAAAACATAATCTTGCATTTTCCCTAGCCAATAGGGCGTCCTTGAATAACTCCAAAAAAATCAGTTCAGCTCAAGCTAAGTCAGTCTACCTGACACTGACAGTGAAATGCTGAAAGAAAATACTAGAGGGAAAGCGGCTAGGATGTTCTAGAATCTGCCACATTCAATTTCAGATGCAAGAATTGAAGCTCCACCGAAGTACAAAGGTTGGTGACAAAGACTCCACCACTCAATGGGGAATTGTCAAGGTCATTTCAACATGTGGGAGGGAAGTTACTGTGTGTGGCTACCTTTAGGAAAATAAATTGTCACTGATCCATTCTATTTAGAGTTACTCTGTTCTACTCCCCTGGGGGGGGGGGGGAAACCGTGAGGATCTAAACTCACCTCAGAGATTAGTTGCTTCTAAGGTCCACGGCACTCCCACTATGGTATAACTGGATTTTTCTTTGGGGAACCCACTCAAGTTTTGACAGTAGAGGAAGAAGACATTAAAGAAACATGGGGTAGAGTTTTTAAGTACTCCTATTTCTCTGGGATGGCTTCCATCTCTCCATCCTAGGCAGTCACTTTACCTTGGACAAATGATCAGCACAGATGACTTTCACATCTACACCGCTGCCTTGTACTCTTTTCCTGGGTTTTCCTGCCCGGCTTTTCTCAGAGGTCCCCTGATGGTCCACTGGCCTTTTCTACCCTTGGTTCTTTCTATTCCCACTTCTCTCCTATCACTTTGCCCCAACCTACATGAGCAGTGCACACGGTCACTCAATCTGGCAGCTGCACTGTCCTTACCTGCAAGCAGGAGGCATACCTCATTCCAGACCATTGAATCATGTGGAAAACTGGCCCCATTCACTAAAATAATGGGAAAAACAAAGCCCAGCACCCAGCCATGAGCCGTGGTAGTTTTGTAGGAGAACACACACCACACCTTACCTTGATCCCCTTTATCCTCAAGGCTCCATCTCAGATCAGAGCAGTTGTGAGTGGGTGGGGCCCACAGTTCTCTCTTCACAGGGTGACTCTTAGTGACCTCCTTCAGAGAGTGGTTTTGTAGTGAGATTCACCAGGCCCTCTTTGAAGAGGCCCACGCTATTCAAATAAACTGATGTTCCCAGCCCAAGTGACTCACTTGTCAACCAGGAGACTAACTAACCCTCTACTGAAAAGCACAAAGTAGCTTTGTGAGATCGATTTTTCTGCTAATAAGCACTGACACTGATGCTTTAAAAAGTCATGCCAAAGCAAACATGAGCTGAGGACGCAGCGTATGCTGAGTACACTTTGAGACACTGGGAATCTGCTGTGAACCAAGCATAGCCATTGCCCTCATGGAGTGTTCTAGATCATGGAGATCAATGAGTGTATGTCAGATGCTGACAGATTCTACTGGGGAAAAGAACAATTTTGTGTTTGAGGGGAAGGCAGTTGGAGGACACTGTCTGATGTGTGACACTTGGCCAGAAGCTCAGGAGAGTTAAAGATGAGCCATGCGGTACCAAAGAGTTTTCTAGACAGAAAGCCTAGAATAATACAAAAGCCCAGAAGTGAGAGCAGAGTTAATATTCACAAAACACAGATGAAAGGCTAGAGTAACTTAATCCAAGCATAGGTGAGAAAGTGGGGGCAACATCCAGAAAGATGGCCTGGATCCACAAACACATGAGACTTTATGGGTTTCAGAATTTCCTTTCCGGGGTTAGGGAACAGGGAGGCCCACTCATCGGTCCAGGTGTCTGATCCCTCCAAGAACAACCATTACATATTACATCACTGGGCACAGTTGTTCTGTGGTCAAGCCAGAATCTTGTCCAAATCTACTTTTGCTTCTCCTTGCTTTCATTTTATATTCTGTGATCAACAGTCTTTACAATGTCCTGCTGCACAAGTAGCAAACACAAGTGCTACTACTTGGGTCAAGTAGCCATGTGACATGATACCTGAAATAGGGGGGATAGCAAAAGAGAAAAGTTAGATGAGGTGTTTTTTCATCAGTGGAGACAGACTCCACACTACCTTATTAAAAACAAAGAAATGCAGTGCAAGCGTTTAATGGAGTAGTCAAGCTACGCATAGGATGCCGGCATCCCATGTAGAGTACCTGGGTTCTAATCCATTCCAGCTTCCTGCTAATGCACACCCTGGGAGGTAGGACATGGTTTCTCAAGTACTTGTGGTTCTGCCTTCCATGTGTGATATCTGAATGAAGCCAGCCTTGGCTTTTGTGGACATTTGGGGAGTAAATATTGAATATAAAATATTCTCTCTCTCATATTTCCCTTTCTCCTTTGCCCATCCTTCTCCTTCCATTTAAAAAAAAAAAACAAAATAGAAAAGTAAACTGCTCAAAACATTAATCATAGCTCTGGCAAATCTCCCATATTCAGTAAGAAGTAGCATCTATTGGGTGCTCTTGGTTCCTCACCAATCGTTGGGGGAATCAGACTTGACTTCATGTCTCCCTAAATTGAGTCTGAAAGAATGGCCTGTAAAAAAAACACAGTTATGTTCAGGCCCAGGAAAACTGGTGACTGCTTCTCCTCAGCTCGCTGTCATGCCAGATGGAACAGGAATGCGCACAGTAAGAATACTCTCACTGGCCAGCCAGCTTGGATCCAGTCCTTGGAACTACACTTGCAGAGGAACACCAAAACACCAGAAAACTGGAGGGTCCAAAACCAGATTGGCCAGAATGGTGAAATATATAGAAACTATCTTATGAGAAATGACTAAAGAAATTGGTAGTGGGATTGGCACATTGGCTCAACAGGCTAATCCTCCACCTCCAAGTGTAGCAGCCCATGTAAGTGCCAGTTCATGTCAAGTTGTTCCACTTCCCATCCAGCTCCCCGCTTATAGCCTGGGAAAGCAGTGGAGGATGGGCCAAAGCCTTGGGATCCTGAACCTGTGTGGGAGACTCAGAAAAAGCACCTGGCTCCTGGCTTCAGATTAGCTCAGCTCTGACTGTTGTGGCCATTTGGGAAGTAAACCAGTAGATGGAAGATTTTTTTCCTCTGTCTCTCCTTCTCTCTGTAAATCTGCCTTTCCAATAAAAATAAATAAACATTTTGAAAGAAAGTAACAGAGGAGGAGAGAGGGAGGAAGAAGTGAAGGAGAAAGAGAGGAAGAAGGGGAGGAGGGAAGGAAGGAAGGAAGGAAGGAAGGAAGGAAGGAGGGAAGGAAGGAAGGAAGGAAGGAAGGAAGGAAGGAAGGAAGGAAGGAAGGAAGGAATTAGTCATGTTTAGCCTGGAACAAAAGCTCAGATGGCCACATGGCCTCAATTACTTGAAAGGTTACCACATGAGTCTAGACTATTTGACAGAGGCCACTGGAGCAAGTCATAAAAAGACAGAAGTTGACTCATAAGAATAATAGGATCTTAAAGCTGGAAGGAAACTTTGTGGTTACTCAGTTCAAGTTTCTCACATCTCAGGTGAAAAACCAAGCCCCAAAGAGGTTGTTACTCCCCTGGAATTACTTAATTAGCCAGTAGCAAAGTCATAATCAGCTTCAGATTTTCTAAATCAGTCCAGCCCCTGACACTACACCATATAACTAAGGAAGAACATTCTAACAAATTGAGACATTCAAATGCATAGTGCGCTGCTACAATGGATGTGCTTAACCAGAAACACTCTTGGAGCAACATTATAAGCAAGAGAATTTTCATGCTAGTTGAGAAGCTGGATTAGAAATTGAGGAGATGTGTACCTATATCCAGACTGCCACCTTCCAGGGTCATGTCGCAAGTGGTTAGCTAATTATGATACACTTTTCGCACTGAGGTCAGACACAGGGTTCAAGTTCCTTTTACCAACCAATTGAAACTGGGAGCCAAGGT